GTAATAATAATGGTAATTATCTAATTTATTGTTTAAATATTTAATCTTAATTATTTATTATTAATGATATTTTAAATTATACAGAATCTAAACAAATTGAAATAACTATACCAGATGATTTTTAAATTAAAGCAAACCCTCTTGTAATTTAACCTGATTGAAGTGACATATCACCATGCCTCTTATCATCATTTAGTATTATTTATTTATTATTTTATTAATATTTTTATATTCAACATTTATATATGGGGCATGCTGCAACAAAACCAGACAAAGTGAACATTGTGTCACACAGGATTACAGGGTTCAAAATTTACCAGTATAATGTATAATTATAAATTCAAAATCAAAAAGACTGTAAAAATATTTATCATGAAGAGTATAAATGATAAAGAATTATTTCCAAAAGATAGTCAAAAGTAAAGAAGCCATTAATGAATTAAATAAGAAGTTTGAAAAACATAAACTTAAACCTTTGGCTAGATTTCAGTGATACAGACAGAATGGTTTGCCTATGGAAATTAATTTATTATTTGAAAAATTTGTCATTCAAGAAACAGGAAAAATTTGTGGCAGAATTCAACAGCTTATTATTGAAACAATGATGGTGGCCGAAATTATTTTAGAAAATCCGAAATAGTTTCACCCACAGACATTAGGAATTTAGGCTCCTAAACTAGTAGTGAAACTCAAAAATTGCCTAAATTATGGGTTAGGTTCAGCCACCATCATTAATCAACACTAACAACACAGATCCATGATGATACATTTTAACAATTAATGGAAATTTTCTGAGAAACAGGTTTTCAGTTACAAATCAAAGTTATTTTGGCATAATTTCCTATTCCATGCCAATTATATTATGCATTAACTAATTTTTATTTTTATATATAAAAAATAATTCAACATTTGTATCACTTAACCATTATCATTTATATGCTTGATTAATCCATTTGAACAAATATATTTTGTTGCCGTTTTGCAAGAGGTGTGAATTTTGTTTTAAGAGTCCTTGACTTGACAGCTTCAAGGGGTAGTTTAGGCAACACCGATTTTAACATATAATTATATCTAAATGGCTGCCGATTTAATAATGTCTGCATAAACAAACCATCTGCACTTTGAAGGAGAAACAAAAGCTTGGTAAGAAAGGTGGAGGCATGAGAATGAGTAGTCAGGTAACTAGTTTACTTCAAAATTACTTTCATGCTGGAAATACAAATAAAAGTGATAGGTATTCACCTGAAGACATGTTGAATGAGTTGAACGGTTAAAGAAAGACAATTGGATCCAAATGAACTTCCAAAAATCAATACTATACAAAGTTGGATTGGGGTCTGATTCATTTCGTCGACAATCATTTCGTCGACAGTCATTTCGTCGACACCCATTTCGTCGAAAGTTTGTTTCGTCGAAAGTTCATTTCGTCGAAAATTATTTCGTCACAAAAAAAAAACTTCATTAAACAAATTTTTCCTCGCACTTCCCACACACTCCGCTTTCATCACCTAATTTCTTAACTAACTCCTCATCCAACTCGTTCGGTCTCTGGCTCGAGGATGAATAATTTTCGACGAAATGAACATTCGATGAAACAAACTTTTGACGAAATGAACTTTCGACGAAATGGGTGTCGACGAAATGATTTTCGACGAAATAATTTTCGATGAAGTAAACGCGACCGATTTGGGATTTGAATACAATAAATATAGTTTCGTGTATTAGTGTATGTTTTTCAAATAATAAAATTGTTCTAATCAAGAGAGATAAATATCAGAGATGTATCATGCATGTTTAGATACTAAAAAAATATAAAAAGAATATTCAATACTAATACTACTATTATATTTGTTATTTATTACTGCCAACCAAGGAATGATTGTTAAAGGACGAATAATGCATCCTTTTGGTAATGCTGTTTGTACTTCCGATGAGATAAAATTCGTTTACTATCTTTATGTAATTTTGTATCAGTATCTTCTTAATTATGAAATACTGTACTTATACTTGCAATTGGACGCGTCAAGCAAAAATTTACATATATGAATATAAAGGCAAAATTTAAGGTCAGATTATTTTCGGTTTTATTAACAACCTGCTTTAAAAATTTTTTTTAGAGCAGATAGATAGATACATATGATAAAGAAGTTATATATAAAATTTGGTGGCGAATGCTACACAGAAAGGGTATCAAACGAGGGTGTGAAGACATTCGATTAATTTTACTATTACTATTACTATTACTATGTAAATTCGAATTTTACTATGATGAAGATATCCAAATTTTACTATGTCATGCGACTACTATGTTTTTCGATAGAATTGCCAATTTATTACTACACAAGACTGTGCCAAATGTGTAATCGAGAAAAATTCAATTGGTTAAAAAAACTATATCTTAGAAACGTCCAAAAGATTGAAACAGTTAGTGATTTAGTCAATAAAAGTCAGGCAGTGATAGTTGATTCGAGTAGTGATGGTGAAAATGTCATGTACTCCAAATCACTCACGGTAAATTATTCAGCGATGGTTTTATACAACCCATTTTTGTTAAATTAATTAGCTAAATATTGTCTATTGTTATTATTATTATTATCAATACGTTACATTATTTAAATAATCAATGTTTAATATAACGTTTATTAAAACTGTTTTTTCTAATATGATTACGCACTTGATAACTAATTTCTGACATTATTCTGTTATTTCAAATGCCCAAAATATAAAAAAAATTTTGATGCAAAGTTAATTGTGTAACAAAATATAAAATACAATAATAAGCTTTAAAATAAAATAAAAATGGCTACATCTGTTCAATTTACTGTGGGAAAACTTGATGCTGGAATGGTAAATAGAAATTATAAATATAATAATAATATATAATTACAAAAATTAAATAAACAGGTAAAATAAGTAACAAATTTTTAAATGTAGGCAATCTTGTTGACAGAAGAACATCACCTTATTGAGTTTCCCTCACTTCTACTTCCACCTGGTGTTTCTTCAGGCAGTATAGTGAACATTAATGTTGCTCGTAACTACGAGCAAGAATCAGCCCAGAGTCGAGATTTTTGGTCACTTCAAGAAGCCATATTAAAAGAGTTTGGAGAGAGTTCATCACCTGGATCGGATAAAATCAGAAATAAATTAGAGAATTTGACCGATATAAATATTTGTTTTGGTAATCTTGTTGATGATGGTGACGACGAGAACGACAACGACGACGATGATGATCACGACAATAACGGTATTGGTGAAGGTGATAATATAAAACCAAAAAGTAAACAAGAATTAATTGAAATTATAAAAAGAATTGGTGCAAAATATGAAGAACATGTCGGACCTGACACAACTCATTTAATATGTAATGCACAAGGTGGTATTGAGTATCAACGAGCAATTGAAGGTAATATACCAATCGTGAAACCTGAATGGTTGGTTGCTTGTGAAAAAGCTGGTAAAATACTAGCTTCACCTCACTATCTTATACCACAATCAGATGAAAAATAATTTAATAATATTATTTTTTTAATTAATTAATTATTGGGAGATGTTTAGATAGATTTTAATAATTTATTTGGAGTTTTGGGGTAGATTTAATCAATTTCTTTATTTTTATATTATCATTTCTAACAATAATAATAATAATAAAATTTTTTTGAAAAAAAAAACAATAATAGAGAAAACTAGAAAAGATCAAATATAAATATTATTTTTTCTTCTATTAATAAAATATATTATTATATAGATATGCAACTATTATGGCACACATTCGTTTAATACTACTATTCATTTCCTAATAGTAAAAAGAATATATAGATAGAAAATATATATATATATATATATATATACATATTAATAAAGACTACAAATAATAAATAAATAGATCATTAATTATAAGAAAAAAAAAACGTAACTTTTTCGTTTTTTGTTTTTAATATGAAAGATAAGATATAAAATATATATTTATTCAATGATTGATTTTTTTTGGTTTGAATTTCCAAAATAATTTATCGTATAGTATCATTATCATTTTACCAAAGGACGTACATGACCTGTTTCATCTTTACATAACCTTTCATTGTATTTTTGCATTTCCTTAAGATATGCATTTGCCTTTGGATCTAATGTAGTGGCATCACGACTTTCATCATCCGCATTTACACGTTTTGGTTCAGGTTCGATGTCTGATGATGATGATGGATTAACTTTACGTTTTCCTCGATTTTTCTGTTAAGAATAAAAACACAATGTATTTAGTGGTTTGAAATAATGAATAAAGATATTACTTGATAAATGAAAATACCCGTCAATAATAATTGATAATTGATACTTACAATTCGATCTTCGAATGCCTTCTTCCTAATAATACATATATATATATATATAGTATTATATATTTTTTGAAAAAAGATTTTATTTTACACATTAAATATAATAAAATGAATGAAGAATCAAATGATATTAAAAAAAACAATTACGATTTAATTCGATGATTGTTTTTAAAAGTAAATTTTTTGAAGGAAAAAATTTTATTTTTAAATTGTTAAAATAGTGTTGTAAGTAAAAAGAAAAATCAAACAATTCCTGAAGAAACTTTTCTTTTGTTATTCTAAGAGACTAATTAATTATCTTGATATATTAATCATATTAATCAAAAATTGAAACCTGTTCCTCTTAATCAGCCATATCAAATATGTATACATACAATATATATGCATATAAATATATAAATATACATACAATATATATGTATATAAATGTATAATATAATGTATATATATATGTATAATATAATGTATATGTGTGTATATATCTTGGATCAAAGAAAAAATGACCAAATGGTTTTTCTTTCTTACTTTCTATTTACTTATTTTCTTTGTCTCTATAAATTCCTTATCAAAAGAACAATTATAAATGTATAAATCTATATATTTCTTTAATTCCTCACCTTTCTAAAGCTTCAAGTTGTTTCTTTTTTTCATCTTCCTCTGCTTTCATTTTTTTAAAACGATCCAAAAAACTCCCATCATTTGAAAAAATGTTTATCGCGGGAGCATTCTTTGAAGCTTTTGGAACGCCATTATTTATACTATTAGCATTATTGTTACCATTACTATTACTAACTCCGTTACCACTATTGCTACTATTACTACTTAAACTATTGCTATTGTTAATGCTAGCATTGGTTGTTGATGTTGTTGATGTATTACTAACATTTGGAGTGTCTTTTGTATTTGATAAATTGTTGTTGGAAGGCCTTGAATCATCATTGTTACTATCACTATCGCTACTATTACTATTATTACTAGTCATTATTTATTTCTACAAATTGTGGAAAGTTTGAGAAACAATAAATGTAGTGCACAAATTTCTTAAATTGTGTATTCTAAATTGTGTATCATTTAATTAGTGCTATAACCAATTTTACTAATATCACTTTTTCTTCCTCTTTTCGAATGCAACAAACAATTCATCATTATAAGCTTATTATATTGGTCTTCTTATAAGATTGTAGTCATCTACACACACAAATAATTGCGCACAAAAGATTTACGGAATCGTGATCTTTAAGGATATCTTTGTTTCCTTCAGAAAAAAACTTGTGATGATTTAAGTATTTAGTCATCTCTCTCTAGATGAATCAAATGGAAATCCCAAATTTTGACATTAGAAGGAGGTTACTAATACCATCTTATCAAATAAATCAAAATTGTTTTTGCTTGATAACATGTATTAAAAAAAAAGAACTCCAGATTCAATGTACTTTCAAAATAACTTTTTGACAATAAAATAAAATAAATAATAATCCAAATCAAATCATAACCAAAACCATTCGCTGGTAAATAGATCCTTATCAATCTGATCGAATCTTTATCCTGGTGTATGTATTATCTTGGGGAGTTATTTGAAGAACGGGATATTTTAACCAGGAAACAGTCAAATATTAATTATTTGAATCTTGGTGTGTGTGGGGTTCCTAACCATAACCCCTAACCCCATTCAAATATTCGTTTGATATAATTATAATCAGAATACCCTTATTAATTATGAATATGATAATTACGAATATCACGAATACCCAACAGACCCACAGTAATTATATATAATAATTAAGAATATTCATAGTAATTATGGGTACCCTTATTTATTAAAATAATTATTATATCATTTGTATAATTAATAATCATAATTAATAGATAAAATATCTTATAAATCATTACTATTACTGTTGCTTGAATGTTTGAATATTAAAAAATACCAAAAATAATTATGAGTAACAAAATAATTATGAAATGAACTTAAATTTATTCGAATATTCGTAAATAGATTGATATTCGAATACTCGTAAAAACTTGCTTTTCGGTTATTAACGCTAGATGCATGAATGAAAACATGAAATATGCAGTAATAAAATAAATATTTACCATATTTATAATTAATGTAATTTTTCTAAAACTTCTCTAGTTTTATTATAAGCGAAAAAAGTTACAGCGCTAACAGGAGCAGCTTTAATTATAGCAGGAGTTAAACCTCTATAAAGCCCACAGAAACCTTCATTTCTTATGATAGTTTTAATATTAACTATTATTGAATTGGTATATAAAGGAATATAATTTATAAAAAAATATTTTTGTTTTGGTGAAGGAGGTATTTGTAATTGCATACGTTTACGTATTAAATCTAATGGAAATACACCTGTTTTACTTATTATACCAGACATTGCTCCTATAATCATATCATTTGTTGATGAAAACATTTTTAAATATTGATTTTTTTCCTGTTATGATTTTGGTTATTGTAGTTGATATTGTTTTTATTAGTAAATTTTGAACATAAATAAATAGTAAATAGATGAATTTTTGATTTTTGATTTTTTTAAATTTACCTCGAATTGTTCAAATGTTTTTTTAAATAATTCAAAGCTACCAAACATTAAACCCATATAGGGAATAATTTGCATAATTGATGCGGTTAATCCTTTATAAAATCCTTTAAATCCTTCTTGAGAATGAATTTGTCTAATTGCATCCATGATTCCATTATATAACTTTGTTTCTCCTTGTGCAGCAAATCTAGTTCTTAATATATCAAAAGGATATGTCAAGAAGGTGGCAGTACTTCCACATATTCCGCCAGCAATAAATGATTGTAATGTTTTGTTTGATAATAATACTGATAATGATGATGAATTGTTCTTTTCGTAATTTAAGAATAAATTATGTATTTTTTGATATGTCAAAAATTGTATGGATCCATACGATAAATATAAAAATTCCGCTGAAATATTACCCTTCCATAAACTCTAATAATAATAACAAAATCAATATGATTTAATTTAATTAATCAATCAACCAGTTTCTTTACCTTTATTCCTTCTTCATGAATTATTGTTTTGAATGCATTAATCATCCCAGTATATTTAATATTACCAATATTATTATTAATATTAACTAGTTTATTATTATTAAATTCCTTTGGTTTTCCCGATTGAAGCTGTAATAAATGATAATATTAATAAGTAATTTATGATAAATATTACTCGATTTTGATTATCGATCTTTACTTGTAATCTGATCTTTACAACATCCAATGGTGAAGAAACAAATCTTTATTAAATAATTAATATTAATAATTAGAAAATCATATAGATTATTATTAGGTAAAATTGGTATTCTTGAATTTTACCTAGATACCATACCAGCAACTGCACCACAAATGCCAGTTTCTATCGAAGAAAGCTTTGCTGAAGCTAAAGGAGGTGATGTAGAGGAAGACGATTGTGATGACGCTATTTGTTGTTGTTTAACAAGATCATTATTATCGTTATCATTATTGTTGTAATTAGAATCTAAATGCAAACCAAAACCAAACAGAGTAAATAAACAATTTGTTTTATATACTAATTATTAATTAAAAACAAATTATTTACTTTGATTCATTTAAAAAATTGAAGGAAAGGATCTGCATGGTAAAATTCCCTCTTAAAAAATTTTGCCCAGATCGGCATCAATTAACATAGTCAAAAAATAAAAAGAAATTCTCACAATTGAATCAGGAGATTTTCCTATTATTTGCTTTAAGAAATAAGTTTATTTTTTTTGGCTACTTCCTCTACTCACGAAACTGACCAATTATATGATCCTTTACTTTCTCATTTGAGTTGAATTAATGAAAATGCTCAACTGAAAAAATTCTTTTTAGACAAATATTAATACAGATTTTTGGTTCATTGATTTTAGTTTTATAAGGGATCAAATGAAATGTAATATATAGAGTTTAGAACAAATTCAAAATTAATAGTTTAAAATTATATATTAATTAAATTAACCAAGATGGGGAATGTATTATGTCATGTGATTATGATTATTGGATTACATTTTTAGTTACGTTTTAAATTACATCATCATATGCATGCATACATCAAAATATTTCTTCAAGTCCCTCCCTACATTAAGACAATAAAAATTTTTGTCTTGATATTTTCTTATCATATTAACAATTTACAACATTAACAAACGAAAATATGGTAAAAACTTTTTTATAAAATATATTGTTTAATATATATCAATATTTAACCCTTTATTCGTTTGAAGTTAGTACGATTACGCTCAAAAGAAGGAACTGTTCGCATGGAAGTTGATCCAAATGAAGATGTAACTTCATTAGGAGAAAAGGTAATAATTTTCAATATTACCTTGTTAAATTTATCTATATTATTTATGTTTTTTATTTAAAACAATTGTTTTGATCGTTCGTTACTATTATAGATAGCAAAACAATATAATTTAAGCGACCTTTCAACTATTGCTATTTCTGACAGGCCAACTACTTCTCAACCGATAATTCAGTTAGCAGGCCAAACTCTTAGTCAAATAGGACTTAGGTACATAAAAATTAAAATAAGATTTACAAATCTTTTAATTTTTTAACCAATTTAACTTTTTTCTTAAAAGTCATGGAGCTCTTGTTTTTGTTACATTTAACGATTCAACAACAACGGCAACAACTGGATCAAACGCATCGTCGTCAAGTTCAACGACAACACGAACAGAAAACGGCACTGACAAAAACTCAATTGAAATACAACAACAACAACAACAACAAATTTCACTTGATGATATGTTTGAGAAACAAGATGGTCTGATAAAGCGTGAAAGAGATCCTAAATTGTACGAACAAAAGAGAGAACATATATGTTTTGTGTGATTGATGTAGATGTATATTTTATAATGAATTTATCATTGTTAATATTTACACAATTTTTTTGTAGTTGCAAACATGCTGGAAAAGGAATGTGTGATTATTGTATGCCGTTAGAGGTAAGTGATTCCATGAACAGATTTCACGAATATTAAAAATATTCTATATATTTCTTATAAATTACTTATTGTTTTGTTTATTTTATTCATATATATATATATATATGTATATATGTATGTAGCCTTACGATACAAAATATCTTTCTGAAAAAGGGATAAAACACATGTCATTCTATGCTTATTTACGTAAAATTAATAAACAAAACAAACAACAACAGAATATGAAATTTATTCCACCACTAGAAGAACCAGACTTTAAAGTAAAAACTAATTGTTCAAGTGGTCATGCACCATGGCCTGAAGGGATTTGTACAAAATGTCAACCAAGCGCCGTCACCTTACAACTTCAAGTAACCTTATTAAAAAATTATTTTTTTCATGAAAAATAAAATTTGTTATACTTAAAAAAAAAAATTATATATGTTAATAAATTTTAGCAATATCGCATGGTGGATCATGTAGAATTTTCTGTGTCAAGTTTAATTAATGATTTTATTAATTTTTGGCGATCTACTGGATATCAAAGATTTGGATATTTATATGGTAGATATGAATCATATCCTGACGTACCACTAGGAGTAAAAGCTGTTGTTGAAGCAATATATGAACCACCACAAGAAGATGAAGTAAATGAGTTGTCCTTGACACTTCCATGGAATGAAGAAAGTTTAATTGATGAAGTTGCTGCGGAATGTGGTTTGACTAAGGTTCTACATATATGTTTACAATTTTTTATAGATATTTAATTGATTATAATGAAGTGTAAATATTTAATTATTTACTATTTTTTTTTTAATAATAATAGGTCGGGATGATTTACACAGATCTTGTAGATGATGGAACAGGACAAGGAAAAGTTATTTGTAAAAGACACATTGATTCATATTTTCTTTCATCCCAGGAATGTTGTTTTTCAGCGACAATGCAGAATAAGCATCCAACGCATACAAAATGGAGCGTATCCAAACAATTTGATAGTAGATTCGTTACGTGTGTGGTGACAGGAAATGAAAATGGTGACATTGATGTTTCATCATACCAAGTTTCAAACACATGTGCAGCCATGGTATCTGCCGACATTATTGAACCTAGCGTAGATCCAAGCATAATGAGAGTAAAAGAGAGCACCTCAAAAAGATATGTGCCTGAAGTATTTTATAATTATAAAAATAAATACGGTATTGAAGTTAAAGAAAGTGCAAAACCTAGCTTTCCCGTTGAATATCTGTTGGTTAATGTAAGATTATTGTTATTGTTGTGATAAATTAATTAATAATAATAAACAACAAAAGCAACAACAACAACGATAATAATAAAATTATTATTGTTATTATTATTATTATTATTAGGTAACACATGGATTTCCATTCAATCCGAATCCTCTTTTCATTTCAAAAAAGACTTTTCCAATTGCAAATAGAAGTGTATTGGAAACTCAGGATTTAAGAAATTTACATATTTACCTTGGATCTACATCCAGTGAAGACATTGATAACGAATTACTTTCTAATTTCCAATTATTAACTTATATAAAAAGCACAGATATTCTAGATCAGGTAATAAAAATAACGATAATATATAAATTATTAAATATTAATTAATTTATTAACTTATTCAATATTATAGAATGACTTTTCCTCATTGGTAAAATGCGCAACTTCACATGAACCAAACGATGCAGTTCAATTAGCAATTAATCCTGGTTGGCAAACATTATTAGCAATCATGAGAGAGAAATATGGTAAGGTCTTAAATATCACATACAGCATTTTAATTTTTTTTTATTAATATATAAAAGTCATGGATTGTTTACTAAATATTTATTACTATCATCAATTCATCAAAACAGAAGATTTCTTTTAAAGATTCAATTCTAAACGTAGTTGCCAAGTGTAATTGGCACATTAAAAGCAGTCGAATGAGAACGGAAATTATTTTCTTTTGTATTAATATTGAATTTTTTTAATTCTGTTCACATAAAAAATACAATAACGTTTGGCCAATAAACTTAAAATTCATCGATCACCATTACAATGATCATCATCATATTATAATCGTATATGTTTTTGTATTTTTTTTCTTGCAAAAAATTAAACAATAAATTAGTCCAGTGGGTATTTTACATCATATAACTTTGTATATTATACAAAGTTTGTTAGAACGAATTTTCTTGAGCCTGACTGCGTGAGAAGGATACAGGCGAATAAGAACTACGACTTGAAGAGACAACCCAAGGCAGGGAATTTACGTGATAATTTTACTAAAACAATCGCTTGGTATGGTTCTGAAGAAAATATCATATTTATTAATAACCGGAAATATTGTTTCCTAAAATAAACATTCGGTTATTGGAAATTTACGGATGCTGAAAATATTCTTCTTCTTGTAATAAATAGAGAGAGATGTTTATATCAATATAAATATCTATATATAGACTTGCTCATTATTATTCATGCCTGCTAATTCGTTATTATTGTTTATATCAGTCTTCAAGTTCTAACGGAATCACGAATTTTGATGACATGACAAGGATATAATAGGTACTAGTTCTACCCAAAAATGTAACTTGTAAAAAAAAAAAAAAAAAATTCAAAATCCAATAAATCAATCAATACGTGATAGCAACAAATTCTTTTAGTTTTTACTCAATTTATCTATTATAATAAAGATTTAATAAAGAAATATTAATACCATTATTTATTATTATTATTATTGTTTTTTAATTTAATCAACCTCATGGGATTCTTATTTGTGGAGAGTAACATTATCTAATCACTAATAATGTATCAGAATTTAATAATGAACCTATTTTCAAATCCAAAAAAAAGGGGGTGAAATTGTATTTTACATTTTTGGCATTCGATCTCAAACGTGAATTCACCCAACGTTTAAAGATTACTTTTTTAAAAAGATTTGTTTTACATTGGTAAAATGACAAAGAAAAATAATTTATAAAAATCACTTGTCATTTTACATCATTTCCTAAAAATTAAAAAAGAAATAACAATGTTGAAGACTTAAAAATTTCATTTATAAATAAATACTTTTGATGCCCAGGCTTAAAAAAAAAAAAAAAAACAAATAATAGCAATAATATTATTATCATTGACATCTCTAATACATCTTTGTTACTTAAAAAATTATAAATTATTTTTTAAAACAAAATGAAGGACAACTGGAAAACAGTATATAAATACTCCAAAGCTTGCTACGAATGCAGTCGAAAAAAAATCAGATGTGACAATAATATAAATTGTGCAAATTGTAAAAAGAGGAGAAAAGAATGTATTAGAGGTGAGGAGAAGAAAAAAAAGCTAGAGATGGCAAAAAAAGAAGTGGAGTTAATCGATCCTCCCATTGTACCCTCTCATTAAAACCCTGCTGCAGGGACTTGTGTGACTGATTTTTAGACAATGTTTTTTTAATTTTAATTTTAGTTTTTTATTATTTGTTTTTTTTATTAATTTAATATTATTATTATTATACTTATTATTATTTATATTTATATTAATCCACTCTTCATGCACCAAAGTTAATTTTAACGTAACATTTCATAGTTTTATAATTTATGGCTCTAGCTTTAAAACCTACTGTTAGTATTAGTATTATATGAACTTGTTAATGTTGATTGGTGTTAGAAATTGATATTTATTAATGGAGACGAAATCTAATTTATATATTATTATTAAATTTTCACAGGTAGAAAAATAATTTAGTTATAGAAAACTTTTTCGCATGTAATAAATGAATAAAATTTTTTTATTATTATTATTATAATTACCTATTAATGTCATAATGATAGTCAGGAAATCAAGATATTCAGTTGATCATTTTACATATATATCATTCATTAATTAATTGCCTTTTTTGAGAACAAAATAAAAAATGTTTTAGGTTCTAAAAAAAAGCTTGTTTTTAATGTAACAAAGAGTTTTTTTTTCAAATCATATTGATTCGATAAAAAGACACCATTACGCGTTTTAAATACGATTAGCCATTATTTATTCCATCTTACAATTTTGAAATATATTTGTGCTATAGCAATATCACATTCAAAATTTTGAATTTGTAACTTGTAGCACCCTAACGGCGTAATAGTAATGAATATGGATCATTAAAAATACTAAAAATATGTAAGGTTCCGACTATGGAGTTTTTCCCCTAATATTCTCCAAAAGGATATAACAAATTATAAGCAAGCCAAATCGTGTCAAACACAACAAACATACAAACAAATTTTTCGTAGTCATTTCATTAAATAATAATCATCATAACTACCCGATTGATCCAATTTTACAGAAAAACAAATTAGAAATTGTGTGATGAATGTGATATTATTATTATCGATAATGGTGTCGATTTAATATATTCAATAAACGGAAATAATTAGCAAAAAAAAAATTTTTTTTAAGTTTAAGCAAATAAATAAAAACAAACAACGCCTTAATAACGAATAACATATTATTAATTTCAACTTATAAAGATGTAAAGGAATCCTTTCTCCTGGTTTCACTCTTAATGGTCGAGAAATAAACTTACATACAGTACATATGATCATAATATTTAGTATTCAAATCAAAGAAAAGTCAAGATGACATATTTCATTGACGAATTAGTTTTATATATCTCTCTTTCTTAAATTTCCATTTTTTATTTGAAATCGCTTACAGATTAAGTTTACATCAAGACATTTATATGTATATGATATATAATGCATAAGTACCCATTGACCGATTCCTCAAACAACAAAATTATAGTATTTTTTTTAAATATAGTTATAATCACAAATTCGGATCCGTAATTTTCAATATAAAAAAGAGAGAAAATTTCTTTTTCATTCATTCCATCGTCCTTTGAGAAAAAAAAAACTCTTTTCAAAAACATTATAATAATAGCATTTATATCCATCTTTTCATTATCATTATTATTTAAAAACACTGTTTAATTAATTATTAATAATGAATAGTGACGACAGCAATATTAACAATGACAGCAATATTAACAACGACAGCAATATTAACAACGACAGCAACCTTAGTAGCACAGTTACCAACATTAAAAAATCCAGAGGGCCGTATGTAAAGAATGCATGTACCAATTGCAAACAAATTCACAAGAAATGTACAGAGGGCAATGATCCCTGTGATAATTGTTCGCGTAGAAATTTGCCATGTCATAGAGGTAATAACTACATCAACGTTATTATGCTATTGCTTTTTTTCAGTATCAAGAAAAAATTAATTTTTACTTCTTCTTATTCAGTGAAACAATTAGGCGGAAATTTAAATCAAATTCATTATCAAGACTTTAATATTTTCTATTATAATAATAACCACCGGCTGTAATGATATGTTTTTTAATCTAATTAATCTCGTTACTCTATACTTTTATTAATTTTAAATATTGATTTATCCATAATTCATTTATCTTTATTATATTTGTAATTTTAATTTAGTTAATATAATTTTTATAACATATAGTTAATCTCGTTATGCTGTATTTTTTTATATTACTCTACCAATAATTAATGATAATTCAATTTTTATCTAATCCCTTATTATTTAAGGGTTATGAAATTTAAAAGGTTATCACTAATTTCGAATAATGTAATATTTAAAAATTAAAACGAAAATTGTATGACGATCAATGATCGGCGTTATGCGTAAATCTTAAAATGGCATAATTCAATAAAAATACTATATTGCCATATATATGACACAAACATCATCTAATTAAATAATTTTAAATTTGTTATATTATTATCAAGAAAATTGCAACAAATTGTGATAAATCTTATTTTTAAATTAATTTGATCATTAAAGAATATATTGAATCAAATATATAATATAATAATAAATCAGTATTAATGGCAAGAATTTCCGTTTATCTTCCATCTCCTCCACTAATTCATACAGCCATTAAATAAAAGCAATGAATGTTAATACTCCAATAACCGATTCTGTCACTTACCATAGAGATAGATGATTATTCACAAAAAATGATCTTCTTCACAATCATTTCATTTTGTGGATGGAAATGATCTACTTGATCAAAAAGTTTTACACGTTTTTTAATTGTTGAAATATTAACTAAAAATTATTTTCATCATTATGCATAAACGTGCTTTTGTGTTTTTATTTATATTTTTTCTCGAGAGAAAAAATATTGAAACATCACTAATGATCAATTTGTTGATAATAGAAAAGGTATGGAAATCAAAAAAAAAAGAAAAAAAGAAAATAACGATAAAGTGAAATTTTTGTCGTTATGAATTCTTGAATTGTAGGAAAGGTCACACAATTTTATTCTGATCTGTCTGATTTAATGACAATAATAAAAATTTTTCTATTCTAAAGCGCTAATATATTCGGACAGAGCAACGGGATAATTATAAACCTAATCCTCCGAATTTGTTGTTTGAAAGTAAATAATGTACTGAATAAATAAATACTTGCATATTGTGTGTCATTGCGTGCTAAACAAAAGTATTTTTGGCAATAATGTATTGAATAATTCGATTAACAATTTATTTAAGGATATTTTCATTATTCCTTTTCATATGGATTTCAATAAGTGATACCTTCCTTGATCAGACGAGTTACATTCAACCCCCTCTAAGTGCACCCTATCTAAATGCACGCCATGTCTCATTCCCAAACTTATAGTGAGCTTATAAAATTACCCCCTCTAAATGCACACCCTCTCTAAATGCACGTTCATGAGAAATTC